GGGGGAAACCGGGTTCAGCATTCATAGAAATATCTACTGTCTCCTTTTGTTCCTTGTTTTGCCTCGTCACGTAGTTGTGCATGGAGTTTTTCGAGACCTTCTGCTTAGCTCCACGCATAATATGTAGATTTTTGGATACTTTTTCTTTAACTTTCTCAAAATATATGGGAGCCAATGTATAACGTCTTATTCACTGGACGCCATTACCGGAAGTCGAAGTGTAACTTCAAACTTGGTAAATTGATTTCATAGTTGATTTTGAAGTTTTTGATTCGGAATCGGACGGCTGTCATGATAAAAGTTCAGAAGTAAATCTCTACCCTGCCTTTAAATGATTAAAGTTATATCAGTCTGAAAAAGCAACAAACTAAGGTGGTTCAAACCCTGCAGGCTGCATTCCTGAAAGTGAACGTTAATGTCATCAAGAGCTAATAATACCTCTTGATGTCATGATTAGGCCTAAGGCTAATCCAATGAAGCCTGTTCGTAGCACTCGATCATCTGAGCGTGGTCATTGCTTTCGGCATGTCATGCAATCTACAAAGGATCCTAACTTCTTCATTTCTGTCATTCCATATTGGAATTTGCTTCCTTCCTCTTAATAATGCCAATAATGGTTAGTTGCAAATTTGAATCTTTTTCTACTGCAATCCGTAGACGTATATTATAATACTAAGTGTTGATCCGTCCATTTGATGAACTTTGTCATTCTCCGTCTTCGATACAGTCCTTTGGACTTTGCTGACGAATTTCTATGACTATGAGGTTAACCTAATTTAGTGTTTCCCCTGCATTGACACCAGCGAGGCGGCCGTCTCGCTAAAATTTTCAGCCACCACACAGAAATTTGTCCAAAACACTGCCTCGCTGATGAAAATCAGTGTTTTTCCGTAGAATAGTGCTTATAATGTACCAAAATAGCTTAGAATGCACCAAAATAGCTTAGAATGCACCAAATTGCACCATTTAAAAAAAAATCGACTTGTGGTGCTCGCTTTGCTAGGACCTCGAAACGCGCAAACACGCCCAAAAAAAATTTACCGCCTCACAGGCCTTCTTGGCCAGGAGAAACACTAATTAATGGTTACTTGCCAGGTATTGTTCTTGGCACTGACTCTAAGCTAGACCCCTCTAGGCTAAATGCGATTGCATCCAGTGAGGTGTTTTCCGATAACTTTGATATATATAGAAAGAACTGCAACCACCATGCTATCGGCGTCTTTGTTGCTGTAAAGAAGCCCATATATCTAGCTTGTTAGTAACTTTTTTGATGTAGAAGCAGCTGAACTCACTTGGGTGAAGCTTAAACTTAAAGTCTTTAGTGACACATGACCCTATAGGTTCCTTGCATATTTATATTAAAAAGTTTGAACCCCTTAATGAGTAAAATTGTTATCTCTCTCAGTGGTGTGTGTTCGATGCTTAAAAACATAGCCCCACATAAAGGGTGCTGGTCCTGATAAGGTGCTTGGTTTTATTTCAATTGCATCATTTTATGCATGACCTTGTGCTTGCTATACTGAATTTATTCTGATAATCCGATAATCTAGGTTCTCTTCCTTCCGATTGGAAAAAGGCTCTGGTTACCTCAGTTTATAAAGGTGGTGGATCATCCCTTGCTTTAAATTATTTCCTAATATCTTAGACTTATCTTTGCTCTGAGGCATTTGAGCATATATTCTATTCTTTTGTCATGAATCATTTCGATAGGCATGATATTCTGTCTCGTCATTGTATTGGTTTTCAAAATTGTTTTTCTACTGTTAGTGTTACTGAGTTAATCAATGTTCTTTATGGTTGGACATTAAGTCTTGACAAGTCTCAACAGGTTGATGCAGTATTCTTTATATTTCAGCCTTTGATAGATAATTTTTTAAGGGGGTCATCATGATCTTTAAATTTTTAAGCTTGGTCACCTGGGATTAGATATTACTGTATTTCGGACTTTCTGAAGGATAGATCACAAATTGTCTGTGTAAAAAAGGTGTTGTGCTTGGTCCATTGTTGTTCTTACCTTTTGTAAATAATTTGTTGGCCGAAACTGACTCTTCTACTTCTATTTGGGGTCATCCCTATAGACCGAAGGTCCGATAGACCGAAGGTCCGATAGACCGAAGGTCCGATAGACCGAAGGTCCGATAGTCGCTGTTTGTACACTTTTTGTACGGCGTTTGCGCGGTATTTGTACGGAGTTTGTGCGCTGTTTATCCCATCTCTGTAAGGACCATCACGGTAATTGCCAGTTGTTTTTTGTGGTCCTTTTAAGGCGTTTTGCTGTTTTTGCACGATGGTTGTACGGTATTTGTGAAGGGTTTGTACGGTACTAACACGATCTTTGTAAGATATTTGTACGGTCATTCTATAGTCTTTGAACGGTCTTTGTAGGGCCTTTGTACGGTCATTCTACAGTATTTGTACGTTTTTCTACGGCGATCGTGCGGCAATGCTCTGGCGTGTGTATGTTGCTAGTGATCGTACTTAGAAGCCACGGAAACGATTATTTAAAATCATAAAGGTGTATACCTAGGGCAAGTGTGATGGAATAACCGATAGCGGGGAAGCAGAGAGCAAGATGACGGTGCTGTGGGATGATATAGGACCGATCTGTGATTTGAGCGTAGGGAAACTGTGTCGGAGAAGGGGGGCGTGCATGTCAACTGCGTTGTGGAGGACAGTGTAGAGAAACAGTAGCAAGCGTAACCCGAGTATGGGTTGATAGCGCAGCAGTCGATCACTATATAGGCTAATCACACGCTCAACGTCGACGTTTAGATTGTTATGCAATATTCATCGGACGAGTTGTCGACAGCAGCACAACCCCGGCGAGGCGCGTCTGCAGTCTGCTATACAGACTCTACGGTAATCCGTCCGCTGAGTGCTATATCGGTAAAAGAAGCCGTCGAGAGATCTTGAAAACGACTCCTGTCTAAACGTGAGTTGCTGCTGCTAATTGTAGAAGCTGTTAATTATTTCTTAATTAATTCCTTGCGGTCCGTAGTATATATATATATACGGGCTTTTAACAATTATTAGAGCGGATATGAGCCAGCCTCCATCCCGCTATATATATGTGGCCTTCGTTTGCTCACTGACGCCACACGTGTTTCTGTTCGCACGATGGTGACCGCACGTGCTTCGACCTTCAGAGCTGAAAGTCCTTTTGGGAAAATTTGCGGAAGAAAAGCTTTATCATTTCGGGCGAGAATTGCGCTATAAGCTATATAGACACAAGGCCGCGCAGAGCTTTTCCGGCTATCTCTCTCTCTCTCTCTCTCTCTCTCTCTCTCTCTCTCTCTCTCTCTCT